TGTGTGTGTGTGTGTATATATATATATATATATATATATATATATATATATATATATATGTATATATGTATGTATGTGTATATATACGAATGTTGTTCCCTTAACAAAGAGACGAGCAAATTTTTGGCAACGCGACAAGGAATGTGGCGAAAATACAGGAATATTTTTCAATCGTATCAAGAGAGAGGGGGGGAAAAAAAAGAAGAGAACATTGGTAAAGAAGAAGAAGCAAGCGAAATTATGTAAAATATCCAAAATGTAGATGGTCCTTTTTGTAACATGTGGCACGTATAAACCCACTTTTCGCACAGTTTCGCGCAAATGTTTCAAAGTTGACAGTTCCTCAGTTGAGTTTCTGGAAAACGAAAATTCTGTCCCGTTAGAGCAGCGCCGAACGTGAACTGTTACATTTCCGCCAAGTCCCAAATTTTTTCCAGTTGCCGAACATCTCCCCGAATTTTGCTTCTCTTTTGTTTTCCCTTTTCTCGGCCGGTCGGTCTCGGCAGGCCTCCGAGGTTTCTGGCTCGTCCCGCGGCGAACTAAAAGCTGCCCAACTGCCTTCTTATCAAGGCTTCTTTTTCTCTGGGGCCGCGCCGAAGGAGATAGCGAATCCCCGAAAGGCTCGTTCTGGGGCTTTGCCCTCTAATCTTCGGGCCCACCGAACGGTTAAGTGCGTTTTCGAGTTTGGGAATGTCCTGGCTTTCGGCTCGCGTACACTTTCTCGGACGTGTTGCTTCCTTTCTTCCTCCTTTATCTCACCCTCGAGCGTGTATCCCGAACGTCACGATGGGATCCCGGCCCGTTTCTCTCCCGATTTCTTCGTGTTTCACACGGCCAGGTACCTTAACGTGGCCACGTTTCTATCTGCCTCGTAATGACGTTGCGTTGTCACGAGGATAACGCGCCGCCCATGCGATCGCCTCGAGACTTCTCTCTTATCGCGGGTGGACACGAGGCGCCTCGAGCCCACGGGGAATGCAGGCGAATTAGGATAACAGCCTCTGTTGATAACCAACAAAGTACACCACCCATTTTCGTGGACGCGCCTTTCTACTTTGCCTGGCTGTTTATCACCGGGAGTTTTTGGAGTACGTCCAAACGCCGGTGCGTTGCGCTCTCGCCGTCCCACCAACCGATAACTCCATAGATTTTAGAGAAATCTTTGTTTGTATTTTATATATATCCTCCGATTTCTTGATGCCCACGACGTTCGCCCTTATTCAAAATTCGGCACCCTAACGATATCTCTGCTCATTTGTAAATTATGGAAATTATTGGAGGACAACGACATAGGATGTGTGCTTGTGTTAGAACGATGGCGTGACTCCACGGATTTCATATGTTTTCCTTTTCAGTTGTTTTTCAGTTCCTTACCGATCAAACCGTGGAGCAGTCGCGTGTCTTTTATAATAATCTCACTGCATACGTGCACAATCGCTGTGTCTTTTATAATATTAATATTTTTTTATCATAAAAGACAATTTCAACAGAATTCAATTTCGTGTTTGCTCAGTATCGTACTTAAAATTACCAGACACTCGACTGTTGCACATCTCAACTCAAATCTTAAGTCGCGATGTAAGAATTCGTAATTTTTGCAAAGCCTCCAGTTTTCCACTGCTGATATTACCCGTTCATTTGCAGGTTCTTGAAAACGAATCTGTACACCGTTGGCAGCGTGGAGTAACAAAGGTCTTCGTTCGTAATCCCTAAAAATCGTAATCTCACGAAGAAAGATCGAGAACGGCCGCTCTCTCCCTTGTAAAATAAATCAGGTAAGAATTCGATTAACAATCCATCGACGTCAAATTGATGCCTGAAGTCAAATTGATGCCTGATGTCCGTGTATTACCGGTTTCACGTTGTGTTTCACGAAGAGAAATTATACCATACGCGTCCAAAGTCGGAGTTAAATCAGCTTGGGCGTGCGTTCGTATGCGTGTTCACGGACGCGGATACTTTCCGCCTTAATCGTATGCCCCTGATCGACTAACGAACGCAAAATATAAATAGAAGGCCGGCTGCGCAGGAGATAACCGCCGCCGACAAGCCAAACGAGTCCGTATCGAACAGATTTTTGTCACGGATAATATACGTAGCTAGGTATCCACTGAAGAGTAAAATTGTCGCGAGTTGTTCTCGAAAGCATTTCTCGCAAATGGATACTGTTCTGAGAGTTACTGTCCGAGAGCATCGCTCAACTGTCCAACATGAGAGTCAACCTGCTCGCAAATGGACAGTATTATACCGCTCTTGGAGAGTTGCTCTCCAAATTCGAAACGGTTTCGAAATCCTGAGTGTACTCTCGCGCGAGCAGAATAATGAATAATAAAAAAGTGTGGTTATTGAACTAATTTCTTTTAATTTAAATTATTATATAATAATTTAAATATTACATATAAATATAAATATAAATATTATATGTAAATATAAATATAAATATTATTATATGTAAATATAAATATAAATATTATATAATATTGTATAATATAATTATTATATAATAATTTAAATATTATATAAATATAAATATTATCATACGTAAATATAAATATAAATATTATTATATCTAAATATAAATATAAACATAAATATTATTATATGTAAATATAAATATAAATATTATCATACGTAAATATAAATATAAGTATTATTATATCTAAATATAAATATAAACATAAATATTATTATATGTAAATATAAATATAAATATTATATAATATTGTATAATATAATTATTATATAATAATTTAAATATTATATAATATTAATATCGAATCTCCTGTTGGAGATAGTAGCAGACGCGAATAATTTTGTCGATCATCTTCTCCTCGAAACATACTCATCCTTCGAATATTGCAATCAAGTCGTTGACTTCGCGTTATCCATTACGTTAAATTCATAATTACTCGCACACAACCGTTCCCATTGTCTCTGGCTCAATCGAATATTCTTTCGTGTTTGTTTAGACTGGAAGCGTTGGGTCGACTGCGGCGTCGGACGGACGCGTGGAAAGATGAAACATCGTGCGGTTTGAAGAGTCATCGACGCCATGACGAAGCTCGACGGAGGGACAGTTTTGGGCAAACAGCTCTCACTGATATCTTTTGTTTTTCCGAACACTGTGTGACTAACAGTCCACAATCGCCGTGTTCGTTATTCGAATTCCGTCCTCCCGTGTCGCATTGGGTCTAAAACCAGGTGCTTCGACTATGTTTTCCATGTAATTAGTCATCGTTGGAGGATGCACGTAGCGGAAAGGAAGAATGAGTCTTGTCTCCTGTCTTGCTTGAACATTTTCCATCGAGGAATTTAGTGCACGAACGGCGAACTGATTGTAAAGTAAATTTGACAGTGGCCCAGTAGCACTGTCAAACTATCACGCGTACAACAAACTGCATTCCCATTTTACTGGATTTACGATTTTGTTACCATTATACCGCACCGTAGTTTGTATAAGAATGCTGCCAGAACGATAGTAATATATGTATATATATACTGATTTACATACACTTTACATTCTCTTACATTTAATACTCCACATAGTTGCGTTATGATCATGTGGCAGGAAATGCGAATAATACAAAGCTCAAGGATTAATTAACATGTGCATAAAGGTCGAATAGACGTGGAATGAGGAAAACAATGGTGTTGTTTGCATCGGTTAAATCATTTCTTCGATCGACGACGCGTTATCGGGATTGAATATTTCTTTTTCATTTTTTTTTTTTTCCCAGCGTGTTCGATCATACGATGACTGACAGGCAGAGCGGCGCGCCGGCTGGGGCCATGACAAACAATGGCGTATTCCATTAGGTCTGCCATGAGAATTAACCAGCCAGCCATAACCAGGTGCTCGCCGGGTCCAACATTGGATCGAGCTCGGCCGCCTTGACCACCGCATTCGTTGCGCCCGACGAGAATCAATCACTCTGCTAAACATACCAGCTCGATTCGTAGGTAGATACCTGTCCTCTGGCCATCCTCGAATGACCAAATATCTCAGATAAATATCTCTAGCTTGTCTAACTGGTTCATCCACGAGCCACTAACAAGATACATATCTCTTTCTCTCTTTCCATCTATCTATCTTTCTTGCATTCCTCCTCCTTTTTTCTTTTTTCTTTTTTTTTTTTTTTTCTCAATCAGAGTCGTTTCCAGCAAGTTCAATCCCCTCCTGTGTGTTCGCGAACCGACTGGCGTGTTCGACTTCTCTCCAGCGAATACCAGCGAACGTAATTAATAAGCTATCGTAGTTCTTTCGGTCGTGGCACAGTGTCAATGAACCACACGCGATATATGTACATGCATGCTCCTCGTTCAACACGCCTTTGTCTTCGCCGTTATCTACGCCGGTTCCAATACTGAAAAAACGGGACTTCCTACCGGCGCAGTAGTGATACGCTTGTAGTGAAATCGCGTATGGCAAAAGCCAGGAACACGTTACGTCCAATCCGATAAATCGCTCAATCGCAACATTCGCTGATTCTCGGAACCAAAACACGCACATGTGTGTTATCAATTGTTTCTCAGCGTTGTTGTCTTCTTGCCTCGGCGTCGAAAGTAAAATCTTGAAACGAGAAACGAGTGATCCTCGAGTCCTTGCGTTTCAATCGTACGCTCGATTTGGCAGGCAAAAAGGATTTATAACACTCTCGAGCGTTTAACGTGAAACATGATGGAAGAGTCCTTCTCTCGGTGTCCCGCTAACAAGAATTGTTTCACGCTTCGTTCGAACTTGAGTTATTTTCTAATTTTAGAGAGGTATGATACACGAGAAACGGCCGAAAGAACGCGGCAGGGTTAAATCGAACTAGCGTCTGTCTCTCTTGTTGAAACGAGACGTCGTAATTTCACAATTGTTTATTTCAATCTTCTCTCGTTTGTCGTTCATACGCGTCAACGTGGTGCTTTATTTATCGGGGCGTAGAATTCCGATGGGAAATTATGCGACGCTGCGTGTCTCGATCGCTGTTCGCACCTACGGTGGATTGAACGCGAGGAACGTGATTGCACTCGTTTTAATATCGGTCTCCTTTTCAGGAACTAGCACCGCCGGCACGCCTCGAATAACAACCACCGCGAGATGAACGCGTATTTTTAGCCAAGGCATTAGCCAATTAACTATTAACTCGTTGGCGCCACGACGCTGCTCCTATTTTTGCTTATTTCTTCACGCGGGTAGTTGCATCGTTGCACCTCTTCCGAATCCTCGCCGCGTTTCACCGAAAATAATCCGATCTAACTCAAGTCAAGTGCCGTCTCCCGAATAATTATACGCGCGAAATGAAATATTCTTTTGGCACGATTGTCTACGATTGTTAGCGGATATTATTCTCAAGCTCGTACCATCGCAACAAGTTCTCGTTTTAGGACGGACGACGAAACTCATCGTCAGCACGTGGCGTGCCAGCGCATCAGCCGCGATTCGTCGCGATTCCTCGGCGTATTGCCTTGGAGAGAGAACTCGAGCGCATCTTGCATCCGTGTGATAGCGACATGGTCGATTCTTACACCTGCGCCTGTACCGCATGGGTCTCGAAAGAGATCTCACGCAAAGTGAAAAGGCCCGTTGACGGCCACGCGTATGCATAATGGGCCGATTATCCGGACAAAAGGCCGATTTATTCATCTCGTTTATCATTCCCACTATGCAAAGCGATACACCTTGTGTCAGGTGTCGACGCTTCCACGCGCCGGGGATAAAATAGAGTACACGGGACGTTTGCTACATCAGCCCCCCTCCTCTCTCTTGTTAGCTCGTTTTCCAGCTCTTCCTCGCGCAATCTCATTTCATCGACAAGTAGGTGAAAGAAGTGACCAGGGACGACGTAGCGAAATGGGACAAAAGCCGAAGAGGAGACCGGCTGTCACGGGAAGGACTGACGATCCACAACAGAAGCAGTTGCCGGCGTCGTTGCTGTTCTTTTCATCGTCCCCGCTTCCTCTGTGCAGGACGCACGAACCACGTGCGCGCGAGCGTCACACGAAACGACGTGGTGTGTGTGTGTGTGTGGTCGTATGCGTGTGTATGCTCTCACAGACGTTCACCCACACGAGGGAAACGTGGCGTCTCTGCCTCGGGGCTCAGGCGCCACTGTCTCCCTTCTCTCTATCCCTCGGTTCCCTCACCAACCGCCCATTTCCCGGCGTCGATCCACGCTACTCAACCTTTTACCAACACACAACTCCGTCGGCCTGGCCGCACACTACGTTCTGGTACAGTGGCTGCCATTAACGTAAGTGGCAGAGGCCATGTGCGCGAGACTCTTCGTGTCCGCTTGATTGCGAGTCCGTCGGGAAAGTCTTCGACGAGGATCTAACGACGATCGATGACATGATCTATGAGCCCCTCTACGACGTGGAATCGTAGAGTTGTGAAAAGAAGAAAAGGTTCGGACGAATCTGCTCCGAAATAATTCTTCGTAAAACTAAAGAATTTTGACTTACACTAAATCACTTTTACTTTACGAGAATTTACTTTACCCACGATCTTACGATATTAGATCTCTTTGTAAATTTGGAATTACTTTTTTTGGGACGAATTTTCGCGAAAGAATAAAGATGGATCGTTTTAAATCCAAGTTTAATTAAGATTCACGACCAACGAAAATATATATCGAAATTCTAGAATCAAATCTTGATCCACCTAATTACTTCGATGATACTCCACGACGAACACGACGCGCGCCGAAATTTTGAAACGAAGATAACTGGCAATGACGTTTAACCATTTTATTTACGAACTAAACTCTCCCTAGAAAATAAAAATTCACGAGCATAAATTCGGAGTCGTATCATTGTTTCAATTAACACCGAAAGTTCAAATATAAAATAATTCCAGCGTTTCTCAAGAGTAATTTTCGGATACCGGATCGGTGTACAGTTAAATGAAATTCAAAACAAACGACGAGTCGCAACGAAATTCCCATCTAGCTACATAGTTGGTTCAAAACTAGTCTCTAGGCTCGATGGCTCGAAATCGGGCGGAATCGAGCGAGGTAGATGGTAGATAGAACGACAGCCGTTGAACGTGCGTATTGTACGCGTTCACGGTGCGTGGTTCACCGACAAGGGGCACACTATCGCAGCCGGAGGCGGGACTCGTTTAAAAACTATCTGGCGAGTGTTCTTCGCCGGGTGCCCCTGGTGTGCGCCAGCCGCGGCGGAGTCGTCCGGCTGCACGGCGTTTGCTTTCCAAGACCGTAGTGAGTCAGTCAGTCAAGCGTCGACCATCGCCGGCGTCAGACGCTCGTCTTTCGCCTTTCGAAAAGAACTCTGACGTACGCTCGTACACCTTCGGTGCGTGTCTCATTCCGGCTCGTTATGAATTTCTCTCGCGAGGCCTGCGCGAAGATCGATCGAAAGTTGTGACCGCCGGTCGAAAAGAGTTTCTTCAATCAAAGACGATTATCGATGGAGCTTGATCGCGGTTCGTTTCGTTGATTTCGCAAAAATTTCCCGATCGATCGTTGAAGAAACGAACGCTGAGAATCGACAACGCGGGCAACTTTTCACGATATCGTTAAAACACGACGCACACGGACAGTGCAGTAAAGCAGAGACTGGTAAAATGTTGTCGCGGAACTTGTTGACTTTTGCGACGATAGTGTCGAGCCTGTCTGTGGTGGTTGGTGCTTCCGTGGATCTGGATTCGGGGGACTACGAGGTGCTGGCCGATAACGATGGGAAATCCAATGACAACGGTAACGGTTACATTTTCGGTGTATGATTTCATGGGAAAGTCGAATGGGGGAAACGGTGTGTGCGCCGCGGTCCCAGACGACCGCGTGAACGCGGGTACACGTGGGTGGCGCCAGACACGGGGACGAAATCAGTAGGAATAATGGAATAGACGTTCTGTCGTCCGAGCGACTGAACTTTCGCCATAAACTTAACGACTGTCTTTTTAAACTTGTTGTTTCACTTTTTTACGATCAAAGTCGTCTAATTGTTAATTGTTTCGAGCGATTCTTTTCAGCTTGGAGAGAGATCGATTAACGACACACTACCCTTTACCCGAACGGCACGATACCGATATATATATATATTTCATCTGTAATTAATTCGAGCGATTCGTATCGATGGACGGCACACGGTGCAATTAAACCCGCGACACGTAGCAAATTCTCGTGATGTTCGTTTCTCGATGAGAATTGTTACGAATCGATGGAAACAGATGCGCGGGTCTACTTTTTACGAAAGCGTCGCGAAACGTAGCATTCGTGACGAGTCATTTTTTTTTTTTTGAAACGAGACAGCCAGAAAACCGTTCCCAACCGCGGCCGCCCGACTTTGACGCCAGGGCAATAAAAGTCGGGAAACGCTATTCTCTAAATTAAGACCACTGAAGTCGCTGAAGTACATTAATTGACTCAGCCTTTTCTGCATGTTTCGCGACGGCGGATGGCGTTCGTAGAAACGACCCTCGAAAACCTGCCGATGCCTCGTCAAACTGCTCTCGAAACGAACATCTCGCTCTCGAACTTGTACTTTTGACGTACGCGTCGTATGTGTCTCCTGATACTTTTTCAAAGTATCAAATGACTCGGATCGATGGGCTTTATCATTCTCGACTGTGCATAGAAAATAACGGAGAGAGTGTGGTATAGTTGGATGCGTGGTTGGAAACGTTTTGAGCGAGTGTCCCAAGCGGTGAAGAAAAGAGACCAGAAGAGGCAGATGCAGACGCGCGCGACGCACAGCCACGGTAATTGCAAAATTGTACGTTCCGCGGAACGAAAGGGAAAAAAGGCTTGCACCGGCCGTGTTTTGAACTCGTCTGCTGCCTTTTTTTGCGCCTGGCCGGGAAGCGCAATTAAGGACGCGTGCAATTTCAGTGCGTTTTATCGATGCACGTGAGTATTCGACCGAGTAGGAGAAAAAAAAAAAAAAAAAAAAATAGAGAGAAGGAAAGAAGCCACCGTCGCGATGCTTCCTCTTCTCTGTGACAGAGGCTGGGGCGGTCTTGTTTTCTCGAAACAGGGACAGGCAAGGGGAGAGGAGAGAAAGGGCGGGCGGGAAAAAAGGGCAAGGTAAAAGCGACGTCGAGAAAACAGGTATACCGGGAGCAACGAATGGATGGAATGAAGGAAGTGAACAGAGAGAGGATCGCGGTAGAAAATTGAGTTGGGTAGGATATCGAGACAGATGAGAAACGGAGAATAAAGGGTGGAGGAGACGATAAAATCGCTGGAGGAAGGAGAGAACCCGGTAGCGTAGTTAGGAATGATTCACGATTGATCGATAGATTTACGCCCCGCTTGGAATCCTCCGGGGTGGATCACCGAGTGCGGGATCAGCCAAGAAACGTAAGTAGTTTTGCAAGCAGGTCACCCAGTCGAGTGATCGAAATTTCGGTGAAACCTTCGGGTGAAATCTCGCCCGTGCGAAATAACAAATATTTAAATTTCACAGTTCGCGCGATACCGGGTTTAGAAAGACGATAAAGCGCGTGTCGGGCGCCAGCTAGACGCGCGGATAGTAGAGTATATAATATAATGCCTATGTGCACGATAGCTACCTTTCGACACGCTTGTCTGCACGGTCCTCGTTTACGCAAGTATACTCGCCGTGCATCGTGAATTGCATCGCGCATCGCGAGCAACGTGCGGAGCGCTCCTCAACTGCAGGTACAGTTTTCGTAAATTGCTTCCTTCGGACGTAAAATGGATGACAAAGCTGGATACAATGCCGTTGTTAATCGCAGACGACGGTTACGGGGTAATTTAAGCATCGGGGGAGGGAAATAATTTCACTCGAAGACTCGATCATTCTCGATCGAGCGTGACGTACCTTTGTAAAAATTGAGCGAGATGAAATTTTTGATTTCTCGTAAGGGACGCAAAGATTCCTCAGGCTGGAATACTTTCACTCTGTCGATGTTCAATATTGGACTTTTTCTTTTTCATTCGATTGATGCGCATGATATTCAGTTTGTCAAGTGCCATTCATATTTGACATCGACTCGGTCTAATTTTAATAATAATTCTTCTGTTTGACGATTTTTTAATCATCTCGCGGATCGTTTGAAAGATTGTCCCTTCGCAAAGGACGGGATAGGCTCCCGTCGAGTCGAACGTCTCGTGATAGATAGCGATTCCAATTTTTGTTCAATCCTCCAGATAACGAGGGAGAGAAGGAGTCGGCTTGCGCAACCAGGCGATACAATAAATCACAGCGTATGCAGATTTCGTATCGTATCGTTACGCGTTACCTAACTCCTTCTTCGTTGATTCTTCAATACCGGCGGAGAGATCATTCGATCGGCATGTTTCCTCCGCTCTTCTTCCCGTTTCTCCCGCTTGCGTGCATAGATATCTGTTTACGTGCCAGCGAATCCCACGCAAGTACGCGGCGAGAGATAGGACTCACGATGGTTCACAGAACCATCTCGCTGGCGCGTTACAGTTTCTCAGACACGCGGCACACATCATCGCATTCTTCGTCCCGGGGGAAAAATGCGTCTCTGTTTCTCGGTTTGCGAGAAAGGGCCGTTAATCTAACGCGACTCGAGAGCGTTTATCTGCGCCTCGAGCCGCGTCGAATCTTCCCTGCTTCGAGGAAGGACGATCGCGCCGAGTTTTATATTCACGGTGCACGGGTGCAGATTAGAAAGTTGCTCGCGTTTTCCCGGAATCATCGATTCCGGATCGGATCTCGCGGCGTGTCGCGAAACGTCAGGAGGCTGCCGATCGATCACAGAGCCGTGACAGTGCTCGTGAGGCCCGGCAATCAAACTCGGAGAACGCGCGGTGTTTTCCAAGGATTCGTGAAAAAAAAAAAAAAATTATGTAAACCGGCGAGGCTCCAGCCTCTTATCTGCGCGATACAAACAAGTTATGGAATTGTGATAATTCCCAGTTCGGTTCGCATGCAGCCGGTTGCATATTTATAGACTGCCGAGGTCGATTTTACGATATGACTCATTCGTTTCGAAGCCCAGACGCACAATTGTCAGTTTTATAAACGTTATCGTTTGCACGTTCGATCGGGCGAGAATCGATCGACTCGTAAATCAATTGAAATTTTCGTATTTGCGTTTTAACAGCCTCGATTGTAAAGCCTAGAAAAAGAAAGGAACACTCTCGTACGTGACATGGAGTTAAAGAAACTTCTCCGTCTTGTATTACAGTGTTTAATTTGTTGTCTGTGCCTTTCGAATAAGTTTCGCAACCGTCACGATAAAAACAATAATAATAAAGCTACGCCGTAATTGAATAAAACAGATAAGGATGAACGTGATCCAACCGCGATCCAAAATTTCTCGGAGGCACGCTATCTGCAAAAAGTATTGGCATATTGCCTTATCTCCGGACGACGCGTCTTTTTATCGAATCTCGTATATCATTCTTTTTTATTTTTTTTTTTTCTTTTTCGTACGAAACTAAATAGAAAATTCGGGCATCGTTAATAGATGCGCGAATGTTGCGATAAATACGATCAACGAAATTATTACATCTTCTCTCAATTTTCTCTTTAGCATTCAACTAATTGTCATTTAGTATTTGTTCGAGCAGTTGTTTAACAACAATTTGCAAACTTCTCAGATACCTCGATATCAGCCCGATCGTTTTAGATTCAGATCTAGACGAGAAAGAAGAGAAGTTCGGAAAAATCGCAAACCGAGTGAAAGAAAACTGCCGGTCTCGAACGTTAGCGCAGCCGCTTTGAAAAATGCGAGCTCATCCGCGCGCCACCGACAAACGTAACGCATGCACGCACACGCGGCCACTGCCGGTGTGTTTCACGTGTTCACACTCGGCCGAGTTGCAGCTGGTGTTACGTGTGCTCATCTACACAGAGGCGAACACAGAACCGGCACGGTGGCGCCTGTCGGCCACACAAATGTGCATGCGTGCGTGACGAGTTTATACCTCTTTGTCTTGTGCACGTCCGCGCGTACGTAAATACGCAGTGTGCACAGCTTTGCCACGTACGTTTGCCACACGCGCACACATATGCGCCCGTATCGTGTGCACGTCGCGACGTTTCGCTCGTGTGGGTGTACCAGTGGTCTCGTTTCGATTTGACAAAGTACACGCGAGGACCGATGGAATTTCTTCGCATTTTCCTAGAAGTCGTTTTTTATCTCGAAGATACCGAGGCGGCGACAGAAATGGGTAATCGTTGTTTGCTGTTTGATTTTTGGCGATCGAACGGAATTTTCCGAGGGACTTTGCCTGGCTGATTTTTGTTGGCTCGAAGTGTACATATGTATTTGGTTTTAATAGAAATATACTAACGGTAGTTGGACTCTGAATTCTTGTGTAAATTTATACTCTGCCGAATGTAATGAATACAGAATATACATAAGTTCCTTGTCTCACTTGTTGGACGTTACGAGGACTGATCATTTTCGTGAGTTATGTCAGAGAATCCATCTAGTTAGTCGTTCTCTCTTTGAGCGAATCGCACGCCGCAATCATTCGTCGGATGCCTCGTATTTTGTATCCAGAGATCTGCTGGCGGACAGAGTACTGTACACGGAAGTGACGGTTGTCGCGCACAGCTCGGAATATTATTACGCGCGCCAAGTCGGGACACCAACCAGCGGCCGCGTGTAAAAGTCAAGACATTTTTCTTGGCGGCTTCGCGCTCCATACGCGCCACCCACGCATCGGCTGCTATCTGCTTCCGAATCGGGGACCGGGCAGTTATTTACGACCACTTCGCTATCGCTTCGAATCGAATGCTTAAATTAAAT